ATGGCACTTTAAGCTGATTAACAAAACATTTGTATGCGCGTGCAGTTCATGGTAGCACTGAATATATACCGCACTCAACTGCTTAGCCTACCTCAACAAAATCGGCATCGCTGGAAAGAGCCCACGCAAAACAAGCAACAGACCAGCCAATGGAACGCAAGCGGGCCATCACACCACAATGATAACCATAACCGTGGTCTAAGCTGCACCACAATGCACCACAGTGCCGCCCCCTCAACCTCCTTCACCACTCCACCGCTGCTGCCCCTCTGAAAAACCCTTAACCCCTGTCGCCCCCATCGGACAAAGCCCATTGGCAATTTTTGGTCGAAGCGTCAAAGCAGAAAAAACATCGACGGACACAATAAAAGTTTTGTAGGCGCGTGCATAGAAGGATTGGCAGGATGTGGAATTTTCGGGCAGGAGGTCCTACCTCTCACCCCATGCGATTGACTTTTTTCTATGGCCTCACCGTCAGGATGGCGCAAAATATTTCGATCAGGCGTAAAATGTGCGCAAAATTCAAACAGCATTTTCAGCTGAGCTTTTTTTTGCGTACTCGCCCACTTTCCTCCCGACAAGTTACCCTATTTTTTGTGTGCATGTGTGTGCCTGTATTTTATTATTTATTATGACCGCACAAGCACACACACACACATTGCAGTTTAGTGTTGTAGTTGGCGGACCAAAAAAACATAAACAAAATGCGTTTCGCCCCCATCGCGAACCTTTCCGTTTTTACTCCTGGTCAGGGAAACGGCGAAAAAAAACACTAAAAATAAATTCAAATAAAATTTTTGTTATATACACCATTGAGGTTGTATGTGTGCGGGATGTTGGTGTGTGATGGTGGGGAGTATTTTAGTAAGTGGGGCTGTTGGAGGTTCCGCAGAGGGATGCGATCTTTATTCAACTGAGCCGGCTTACAACGCGACTCTATATAACGATAACAAAAGAGTGTTAGTTTTAATATTAACTAAAGATCAGTTAATATTGACAAAACCCAAAAAATTTTTAAATATTTCACAAGCTTCCTAGGACTTTAAAAGTTCTTAAATAACTTACAATGAATACATTGTGTATAGAAAACAAAAGTGGATCAAAGGTTGGTCAGTAGTTTAAATGGATTATTATTGTATAATACTGCTGCAAATATTCTCCGCAATTATGTACGATCTAAATTCCGGATTCAGCTAACTGCAACATTTCTGGTCAGAGCCATTCCGCTTCAATTCTATTTCCAGGGGGGCTTAAGTGGCAGATTTTTAATTGAATTGGCTGCAGTTGCTGTTGCACTGGCCCTCACCCTTGAAAGTTGACAACGAAACCCCCCTCGGTTTCAGATTTTTTTAGCATATTACTAACCATTTGTTTTTTGCATTAGTTTTTTGTCAGCTGCAGCCGGGACAGAGGGAAAAAATAGGCGAACAAACAAATCATTTGACATTTTATACATATTCCATTATATATCCGCGGATGCATATATGCATGCACATATAGGACCTATAGACCCCCTATAACGCCCCCTCAATAGAAAAATAGAGGCGACTGCGCATTTCACATTTTACGCTGGTTTTATTTTTTATGCAGAGCTGCGCATTTTTGCAATTTATATAAATATTTTATATATTATTTATTTTACACATAGCATATTTTTTTAGCTGATTCGAATTTTTTTGCCATTTGGCGCTTTCATTTTGTGCGCTATATAAATATTTCATTAATTCAACTTTTTCTATTTTCTGTTCTCAATTTTTTTCTCGTACGATTTTATTATTATTTTATGCATTTTTGATGAAATAGTTTTTGGATTTTCTGCAACTAATTTTATGGCAATTCTTTCGCTCTTATTTTTTATTCAGCAGGACAGCGTGAGGGGGATCCACGAGCAGAGGTAAAATCGCTTGAATTTATGCGGCAGCCAGTAGCTGGCAGTTTTAAAAGATTTACGGCATTTACGAAGCGATTCTGCCCATAGGTTTATTATTTAATAAATGCGTTTTGATTTGCCTGCCTTCCCTTCTGCAGAAAAACAATTAAAGGCGGGGTAAACGGTGCGATGAAGGTTTGAGGGAGGGGAAGAACATCAGTTACCTTTTCACTCTATTCAGTTATCATATTGCTCGACCAATTTCCATCAAATTTATTGTCATTTCATATAATTCAAGGCGAACTTAATTTATTTCATATTTTGGTTTGCACTAATAGACAAATAACAAGAAGCGACCAGAATCTAATTTATTTTATGAATATGGAACAGTTTCCATGGCTTTTTACTCATGTTTCCATAATTCTTATTTTCTTATTAGTTTCAAAATATATCCTTGATTTTTATTCCACCTAATAAAAAATATGCCATTCAAGTTTGCTAGAGAGTGTTGAACTTTTTGCTAATTAATTTTTATTTGACTTTAATAACTTCCTTTTTGAGACTTGTCTTGAAGTGTTCGCCATTGACTTCCTAACCAAGTTCGTGGCATGACTTTGGCGAGTCCAAGCATTTCATTAACTCAATTATACACCACCAGCCCACTAGACTACCGATGAGATAAACACATAGATATGAATGTTAATGAGCATACCAACAAACAAAGAGACAATGGAGTATCATCATATTTAACCTATTTACCCAGACGGCGTCTTCACCACCAGCAAGTGAGCGAGCTTTAATTATGCATAATCTAAATGGTCAGTTTATGTTAACACTTTGATTTTCCTAAATTATTAGTACGCAGGATAAATAGGAAGTGGGGGATGGATCGGGTCGTTAAGTCTATAATTAGTCCTTTGTTAAAAATTAAAAGCGAAATTGTTTTCTCTTCGAAAGTGTTGGGAAACAAATACAAATACAACTATCTTACCATTTTGTAAGCGGTTTATAAGTGATTGCTTCAAGGTAATGTTGCTTGAAACGTGTTAAATTAAGCGAGACGCAACCACCACAATGGCCATAATAATTGTAATAATCATTAGTAATTACGTAGAAGGACATGATGTGGTGGATAGGTCGTGGTCTAAAATCATGAAGGATAACGATGAAAACGAAATGACACTAAGGAATGTCCGTTTACTCATCAATAATTGCATCAGTTTACATATTGCTCGTTAAGAATGGCATTTTAATGTCATAATTTTTTTGAGATGTTCTATTAAATAAAATTGGTCCAAAAAAATTATTATAAATGCAATCAGCTAAATTACTTCTCGAGAAACAAAACGTATATTTTATTTAATAAATCTTCACTTTGACTTAATGATAGCATCTATTTAATCAAACCCTTTTTGATTCCCTTTTCCAGAATTTTTATTTTCTTTCCGCTGTTTCTAATTCGCTTTGGTGTCCATCAAAAATCGAAAAACAAATTTGGATGAAATCAAAACCACAACAGTAGTGGCCGTCCCCCTGCGTTGCCTTTGTTTTGCCCCCGGGTAGTAACTGCTCGAGAAATAAGTCAAGTTTTATGATCGTCCCATGGAAACCCTCGAAAAAGCATTGAAATAGCGACGGCAATGACGCCGAAGCACACTGGCAACGGATCTCTCTTCCTGTTCGAATAAACTCCCTATAAAGACCCCTGCCACCCCTCCCTTCCACCCCACCTCCCCCCGCAAAACCCCTGCCGCAAGGTGGCCATCGCTCTTGACCCTTTTTACACTCAACCCACGAAAAACGAAAACAGTCCCCCGTTGCTTTTTTCTCCTTTATTCTTTTCGAAAACTTTACGCTGTCCATGGTCACCCAACCAAACTCCACCCAACCACCACCCCCTGAAAGCCTCCCACCCACACCTCCTTCACCGTTCTGGCAGACAAGCGACAACAACGTTGTCCACTTTCGCAACACCCCAACTACCCCCCGCCCCCGCTCCCTTCGAAAAGAGAGCGAGACGGCAAGCGAGCGACAGGCAAAGGACCAAAGAGGCAGAGAGAGAGGGGGAGACCATTTCGGAATTCATGCTGTCCATGCCAACAGCAACAACGTAGCCGGCTCATATATTTTTCTCATTTATTTTTCCCGGACAAACCCAACCAACCACCCACCCACTCCCCCCAATATTTTTTGTGCGTTTTTCATATCCGAAACGCCGACAACCACCCATCACCCAAACTCGGAACGCAAACCCAAACTCAAGCCTGAACTCAAACCGAAAACCCACAGCCCTTTCGATTTGGCTTTCCCTTTCCCACCCCTGGCGGCGATCCAGCCGGCCTTTTTCATTTTTTTTTCTTTTTTGTTGCGCCATGCCGGCGAAAGACAACAAAAGCAACAGCCATGCCAAACACCCAACACCCCGTCGCCCCTCCACTCTCGAACCAGCGTACACTTGGCGAAAAAAAGGGAAAAACAAAAATAATTGCCGCCTCACTCTCTCGTGTTTTCCCACACTCCCACTTTCAAACACCCATCCCATTCACAAAACCGTCGGCACTCAGCTGTTTGTCAACTCATCTGCCGCGCCGCCATCCGGCTGATTTCGCCCACCGCCCGGCGACCTCCTCCTCCTCCTCTCGCCACCGCCCACTCGCTCTCTCGAAGGCCCCCCTCCATCCACCCCCCTCCTCCATCGACGTCCATGGACAGCGTGGTTCGTTGACGTCGAGCGTCGCGTTATCGGCGTTTCTCTGTTTTTGTACTCATATCCCTCTGCTCTCTCGATGGATTGAAGGAGGGGAAGGGGAAAGGGGGTGATGAAACAGAGGCGCCGCTCGCAGGATGAGGAGGGGGGAGAAGGGGGTGTGCTAGTATATCCAGAGGGGGCGGGGGGCGCCGTCGTGTTGCACACTTTTCGGCATTTCGCCTGCACACGCACTTTCCGCTTTTGGCGGCGTCCCACATTCAACATTCGTCCTTGCTGCGCAGGCGCTGCCACCTAAGGTCCTCTCACTCTCGCCTCTCTCTTGAGCACTGCCAACGTCGACGCAGGACTCGCTGGCTGGCGGCACAGGACTCGGCTCAAAACCCACTTGGCCATCTCTGTTTTGGTCAGTCAGCAGTTGGCTTTCGTCGTGTTTGGTTCGCCATCTGGAGGCAGCGCTCTCTCAGCTTTCATTTCGAAACCAAAACAAACCTAAACGAATATTCCCAAAAAAAAAAACACAATCGAATATATAGAAATTGCGAGGAAAAAATATCACCCCGAAAAAATCCCGTATTGAATGTGTGCCAAATCGCGTCCGCAACTGGGTTATCAAAACTCAAAAACAGTGCTCGAATTTCCCCAGTGAACTGTGTGAGCTGCTTAGAAGAGGATAGGAAAGAAAAAAACCCGCCAAAAATTCTGACAAGTGCCAAAACGTTGCAAGTGATACGTTACAACTGTGTTCAGTGCTAAAGAAACCAACGAGTCGAGTTGCATATTAAGCTGCAACTTTGATATCGTCGCATTTTGGCAGCGCCTGATTCAATTCAATTGTCTGGTCTTCGGGCAAACTCCTCGCTCCTCCACGCAGGCCATCAGAAAAACTGCCAAAATTCCGAAGAATCCGAGGAAAACACCAAAAACATCGACACGTACCGCATCGGCAACCGGTGGCGGTGGGGGAGGTGCTGGCGGAGGCGCCACCACCAGCACGAAAATGGCATCTAAAAGAAAAGCCTCGGTGTTGCTGCACAAGGTGAGTCGGGGTTTTTTCTTTGGAGGGCAAGCACTGCACAAGTCCACAAGTTATTTAGAGAGCAGTTATGGTCAATCATTGGATGTCCTTCCTTTTATCCTTTTTTAACTTTCAACGAACGGCAATTGAACTCTTTCGTTTTGAGTACAGGAAACGGGAGTAATTGAATCTCAAAGTTTCCGCTTTAGGAAGACTTTTTAAGACGACCCTTTTAATTGATATGATAGCGCTATGATAGTACCACTTGAATCAGATTCTTATAATTTTTTTTGGAATAACAAAATAAATTTTATAATTGACATAAACTTCTTTTTTAATTTTTCTAATAATTCTCAACATTTAATTGCCAAAATGAACATTAATTTAGGTTTGGGATAAAATCCTTACAATGTTAAGATTAAGATTAAAAAATCGTTGATCAAAAACTTAAAATCATAATCGTACTAAGCTCGCCGAAATACATAAAATATTAGGCCATATATTAAATGATAATATCAATCCCCATAAATGTCTAGTAATAAAAGTAGTAGACTGATTGATGAAAGGGTATCTGCAAAATAATTGGATAATTGCAGCTTCATGATTCATTCACCTACATGGTTTCGGCATAGCTGCACCTCCAAGAACCAGCCATTAAAAGGGTCCCACCAATCATCGATATAGCTCCTTCAATTCCTGTCACAGAGCTTCAAAGACTTGCCTCCTCCTCGCCAAGTTATATAGACATTCTGAGACCAGCATGAAACCTTTTTCCCTCCTTTTTTTTGCCCGCTTTCAGCAAGTAGTCCAATATGAAATCAATTTGCCCCCAACCCACAAACATGCTCCCATTCCGAGACTCACCGCAGACCAGACACATTTACCCAGCCACAAAATAAACAGTTCGAAAAAAATATATGTATAGGAAGCGTGGAAGGAGCTAAAAAGGAGCGGAAGAAATGTAGACAGTTGCAAAAATATTGCTAATACGCCGCGTAGGCAGCAATCGCAAGCAGCAAGCAGCAAGAAAAAAAAGGAAACCTGCTCATAATGCCTTTTTGGATAAAAAGGCACCTAGATGGGAACATCGAGTCGGCGGGTGGGCGGTGGTGCCCTAATGATATACGGTGGTGTCCTAGTGTAAGTCTCCGCTCACATACGTGTACCTATGCTCCTTGGAACATTACATAGAAGCGCGAATTGCGAGGGCCCCCAGGATGACAAGGAGTAGTAGAGGGGGTGTGAAATGGAGTGTGCGTGTGTGTGTGTGTTCGAATTGGAGGGTAAAAGGTGAGGGGTAACGACATTGGGGTGTCTGGTTGAGCGAGGGGTGCGACTTGAGGGGGGACTAGCCTCCGAAAATGAAACGAAGCACACACACACACCCTCTGTGCCACCCACACACTCACACCACACGCCTTCACCCTAATCCCTCCACCCACCCACAACTTTACCCACCCATCCACCCCCTTCTTCTCACACCAAAAGGGCGCACATTTGCTCTGCACGGTAATTCATCAAATGACGAAGACGCAGTCGAAGGCAACACAAGTGGAAAATGGGTGCGAGGATTGCGGGCTTACTTGGGGCGCCACAAAAGAAGTTGCTTCTTGGGTGAAATCCATCCCCCTCCCCCTCCCGATTCCATTTCCACCTCCCCCTGTTGGAAACCTCCGCCATCTGCAAGACACACGCACACACACACACTCACGTTCGCAGACACACAAAGCGAGTCCGGCGACTGACCAGCCCTCCGGTAAACTTTCTTTGCCTGTGTCCGCGAGTGTGAGTGGGTGTGTGGGCGAGTCGGTGTGTGTGTGTGAGGGGTGAACAAATCCCGATTCCTGCGGATGGGGCATCGTGCCTTCGATACAAGGGTTGTCTAAAGTTGCTCAAGGAAAGTCAGGATGTTCGATTGAATAGAAAAGATTTAGCCAATATGATAATACTCATAATCAAGTCTGGGACGTAATAAATTTCTAATTTAAATTTGTTTGGGATCTACAGTAATATAAATTTATGGGTTTGCTAGTTCGGAACTGAGAAATATTTTTGAAACTAATAAGAGTAATCTTAACAGGAATCAGCTCCTTAAAAAATGATTATTCAAAAAACTTTAATTTAATAAGATGAACTTCCATCGACTAATGTTTTCTAACCAAGAATCACCAATAATCATTTTGTTAGATTATTCCATAAAAAGGAGAGAAGAAGTGATCTAGTAAAAATAAATAATGTGTAAGCCCTATAATTTATCGGAAACATCTATTATATAATTCCCATTGATCTGTAAAAAGAGTTATTAGATAACTTGTAGTGGTTATTCTCCTTCTTCTTAAAAACTTTCCCAAATTGTAATTACTGCAAAAAAAAAACTTGTCAAAGGGCATCCAGCTGTCACCTAATTCCAACCGATTCCCGCATTTCTTGCTTGTTTATTGGGCGATCCGATCCCTTTTCCCCGATGGGTTCCGCCGGTGCCCCAAGCCGGCGGTGAAAGCAACAAAAGCATTGACTTTTGTACATAGCCAACGACATTTGTACATAAATAGTTGAGTCGCCGTGTGTGTGTGCGTGTGTGTTTGTCAAAGGAAACCCCCTCCACGGCCACCCACTCCAAGCGGGGGAACATCAACCCTTTGTGGGTGGGTGGGTCAAGATTTGCGCCTAAGCGCACATAAGCCGCCGCAGGACAGCGTGTGTGTGTCCAAAGGAATATAGCGTCTTTGTGTTTAATTTGAGTCTCAAAATTTTCCGGGAGGTTGTGGGGCTTGGAAAAGTTAAAGACTTTGTGGAAAAGTTTGAAGATACCGGCTACACTCGGCTCTGCCAAAGGCACAACTTGTTATGCTGCTCAGCTGTAATCAAACATGATTTGGTACAGCCAAAAACGGGAGTCAGTCATCAGCCCGTCATCGAACTTTTTGCATCGAATGGGGTTGGGGTTCCATTGGAGTCGAAGTCTGCTTCCTGCGTGCTGGTCCTGCGTCCTTCATCCTGATTCTGATCCTGATCCTGGTGACGGTGGTGGTGCTGCTGCTGGTGCTCTGCCACCGTTACACATCTCAGCATTAGTGTCGCAGGCAGACAACGTGCCAAGCGAATCGAAGCAGACGCCGCAGAACGATGGGTGCGAGATTTGGGGGAGATTCTCCAGGAAAACCAGTCAATGTCATCAACAACAGTCTGGGGAACTGCGATGGGTCCTGGGCTGCTGTGCTCTGCTGTAGAGAAGAACCTGCAAAAAGGACCAAGAAACGGAGGAAGGAGCGGCAGAGATGGAGAAGCATCTTTTAAGACGTCTTTCGACTGTCTTGACTGGTTCTGGGTCTCCACCTCGGTTAGATGTTACGGAAAATTGCTTACGGTTTTTTGAGCACACAGTCACACACTCATCGTACACACACACATGAATGGAGAACGGATAAGATTGGAGGGGGGAGGAGTTGTGTGGGAGCGGGGGAGGGGTATGTGATATGCCATCATACAAACAGACAAGTTAGACAGCCCAAGACCCTCATCTGCTCAGCCATGGCTCCAAAATAGAAATAGATGACAAGAACACCAAAGACGACAAGGCAAGGGACACTGGGTGGTTGGGATAGTGGGTGGTGGTGGTGGTGGGGGTAGGGGAGATGCTGGAGGTGGGGACGGAGTGCCAATGGCTGGGGAGTGGGACTCGATTGCGACAACGACTTTGGCTAAGGGCAACGACGAGATAGACGGCTAACATTGGTTCCAGGGATAAAGCACTGAGAACTAAAGCGAAAGAAACCAAGAAGCCATTCATTTTTGGCTCTTCAAGAATCGATAACTGAGTAAAACTGAGGTGTATTATTTAAAATATTTTCCAATACTCATAATGAATAACAAATCAATCTTTGTTTATTTAATATTAATTTATTCTAATACCAGTCAAACTAGATAGATTGATAGAAACTGTTGCTACTTCAAGCTGAAATTTTTTATAGTGATTATGGCACACATAAAAATAAACGTAAAGGTATTGCCACACATCAATACTCATCGGATATTGAACCAGCCAATAGCCATATTTCTCTCAGTGGCACCTCCACACCCATAAAAGTATGAACCATCAGCTTTGGACCACCTTGAAGCCCGCTCCTTTTGCACAGTAAGCCCAAATAGAAAAAAAACCGAATTTGCCACCCACCCGAAGCAAAACAGACAAGCCAAGGCAACCTTTACACCCACACACCACCGCCACACCGCCACACCACCACTCCCCAACCCACACACACAAAGGCAGAAAACCTAGGACTCGTCGCACAAGCAATCTGCCAACTCAACTCCATCTTGGCCAAAAAAGAGGAGCGGCAAGGAGGAAGGAGAAGGAAATGAAGAAGGCAACGATGTATTTCAGCTTCAGCCACAATCAAAGTTGCTTCACAGGATGACGGGAGGATGGGTCCTTGCCAGACTTGGCTCATCCCCAGCTGCAGATAGAGATAGAAAGAGACGGAGAAACGAGTGCCACATCCCACTCACACACATAAACAGGGTAGCTACGGCACTCACACACACCGTCACAATGGCACAAAAACAATGCCAAAAGTTTCTACACAAGCGACCTCACCTTCATTCCTAGCTGGCTCTCAATGTTGCCAAGCCAAAGACTTTGCCTTGGCATGCATGAACCCCCCACCCTTGCGTTGATGCCCCGAACCCTTCGACTTTTCCCTTATTTCTGCCCCAAATTGTACGCTACACTTTTCGTAGGCACAAAACCCCCAAAGAACCCAACCCTCGCCTTCCATTCCATTCACTCATGTGTGAGTGTGTGTGTGTGAGTGTGTGAGCGTGTGTGCTTGCGTCTTCGACTTTGGCTTAGTATTTTTGGTTAATTTTCTTGCAGTTTTAGGTTACGTTTTTGGCTTTTACCACTGATGCCAGCTACCTTCCTCCTTCCCCCTCTGGAGTTCCACCCCTCGGGCCTTTCACTTGTGAAAGACGTTTGCTTAAAAGCCACCACACACACACATGCACACACACATCTCTGC